TATTTAAAGAGGGTAACCCGATAGTGCAGTGCACTAGTCTTCCTCGGGGCCCTCTAAACACATTCACAATAATACAATTATAAAAACAGTGTACAATATTATAATAAATAATACAACATGACGTGAAAATACAATTACATATACAGATCGATTCAAGAACATGAAATTATATAACTTTTAGTTTCGACATGTTTCAATGAATTTTTCTACATTTTTACGAAAAGTTTGTAAAGTTGGTGAGAAACGGATATGCAAATTTGATTTGTTCCATAAATGAACACCGGAATAATGAAAAGAATTTTTAAATTGATTTGTTCGATATTTCGGTAGATGAAGGTCATAGTTTGTTTCAGATCAACATTGTCTGGTGTCGTAGTAGTTGTCATCGGCATTGTTATAAAAAAAAGGCAAACGTTTATTTTTCGTGTTTATTTTCAATTCCTCTGAAAAAACATTTTCCTGTCGACATAATAGTCCTCACTTCGTCCGGGACTCGGATGTGGTCATCTCAATCGTTTTATTTTCAGGGTTACCATAAATAACTCCTACGGCGCATTAAGCAGGAAACAGTGGCTCCTTACATTTCGTTCTAAACTCGGTATGAATCTCGCCATTATGAGTGATTTTATAAAAATCTTACCATTTCCTTACTCTGCAACAAACAAGGCATCCTCATCTGTACTGCACGTCATGTCTCTATCTTATTATTGAAATGCTTTGATTCTACCTCCTGTTTTTGTTACAACTATTTATATAACTGGTTGAAATGGTAATGTTCGCACAGTTACTCTCAAGAATTCCGTATTAATATGTGCAGTTTAGAGACTTATTCTTGGAATTTTTACGTCTGGTTTTTCAGGAATTTAAAAGATACTCGATGATCTCGAGAACGAATAACAGTTCAAGATTATGTACTGCTTCAATGTCGAGAAGAATTTTTTTCCTTTCTTTTCTATTTTTCTCTGTTTCATTAATTTTTTTTCTTGAATTTCGCAGAGAAATGCCGATCAGAATGTTTTCTCCATTTAAACGGGACAACATGTTACCTTCCCACTGTTTGTCTACATCCCACAAATATTTGCATTAATTTTTTTTTACCTGGCACCTGTCGAGAAATGTTTCTTTATAGGAGCTCCCTGTATGGGTAATCTTACTGTTAATTTTGAAAATGTTTTCTTGTTCCCTTTCTGGCAACTGTACATTATTATTTTCTAAAGACTACAGACTTTGCAGTGCGTGTACTTAAGTATTTTGTTTGTTTTACGCCCCTTCGAGAATTTTTCATTTCCCGGTAGAGGTCTACAATTTTCGTTTTCAAATAACTTTTAGTTTATATTTGCGGCCATTTAAAACTCTTTTGCTCTTTCATGGGCAACGTAATTGTCTCTACATATTTCACCTACTTTATAATTCTATTACACGATAAGATAAGGTGTCCTCACATCTTAGTTCAACCGCGGAAAAATGGCACCGTTAAAGTTTATGCATGTACACGAAGTTGTTCTTTGTTTTCTTTTGTTTGCTTTCTCTTGTTGTTCCGCTTCACATGCCAATGAAGATTCAAACGTGCAGTTTCAAATTACCATAATGCAAAAAACTTTGACCATTCTTCAAGAAACGGTTGAACGTCAAAACATCCGCATCAGTAAACTTGAGAATGACAATAGAAGACAGGAGGACAATATCAGAAAACTGTTGATGGTGATTCAGAACTGTGGTATTGAGGAAAACAATGACGTAAAATCGGTGAACGAGTCGACACCTACATCGATAACTGAAAACCATCAAAATCCGCAAATAAGAGGACCAGAAAGAAATTCCATGATCAGTAAATATTCATTACTTTTGTTTTATGGAATCTAGATCTGTGTTACACGTACTTATTATTTAAGAATCGACCTGCATGGATTTTTAAAAAAAAACCAGTTGCCATGTTTTGATCAACTCAATCCACACTTTTTGATGCATCTAGACGGGTATACTTTATGAAGGGGAAGAGTTGTAAACTCTGTTACATGTAGAATAGATGAAACGTTTAAGAATCGCTTTGGAAAGCGAATTATCTATCTTTTCTATTTCAGTAGAAATGAATATTGATAATACATGTAATAATAATAATAGACCTAGAAAGATTGCATAAAAATTTATTTGGTTTCAACTGACAAAACAAAGAGAATGCAAGTATAGTCTTTGTTGATAAAAATTTTAATTTTATTTCATATTAGGTAATCCAACCTAAACTCAAAGTCCCCTTTCAAAAAAAATTCATCGTTACCTTACAGATGTAGATACATTTAACATCCCAATTAATGGGAATGACTTTGATTCACCGTATCTACACTGGATTCAAAAACTTTGTAAATATCTGTACAAGCAAAGACTTTTCCAGTATATGTTCAGGCATTTTTTGAAATAAGAAAATTGTACTACATGAAAATCAAATGTTCAAGCTAATGCTGTTCTTCAAACATCTTTTTTTTATTTTGCTTTTAGAACGCCTTCTTACACAAGCCTCAAGTTCACCTCCCTCATCGCAGGATCATGTTGCTTTTTACGCCAGGATGTCCATTACGGAAAAAGTTCCCAGTGGACACCATATCCTTGTCTTCGATAACGTGGTCACAAATTTTGGGAATGGATACAATGGGGTTGACGGTATCTTTACTGCCCCAAAAGATGGCGTTTACGTTTTTATTTGGGTTATAAGATTACATGAAGCTCAACATTCTACGCAGCTCATGATCAACAATGTTGAGTATGGATCAACTCACCTACGCGCTATGAATAATGATGATGGATCTGTGAGCGGAAACGTTGTTGCGCATGTCAACAAAGGGGATGTTGTGTTCGTCCATGTGTATCCTTATAATGGATACACTGGTAGCGGCGATATCCTCAGCAATATACATGGAAAACCGTCGTTTTCCGGGTGGTTTCTCCAATAGACTCTGACTGATTTTTAAACATATCATAAAAATACAATTATTAAGCCTTCGTTCTCAAGTTTTGATCGAGTTAAGGTCACATTTAAAACTTGTTAAAATACTATGATATATTTTAGCTCATCCGAGCTGAAGATCTAAGTGCTCTTTTTTTGTCCGTTCAATGTCGTTGGCATCAGCATTCTTGTTTTTGCCAATTTTTTTATTTTTTTCCAAAATCAATGGTCAAAACATCAACCATACTTTGCTACAAGTATTCTTGTATGACGGAAATTGAAGTTTATTCAAATGAAAATCAATGCCCCAAGGGGAGATTGTTAAGAATTAATGTAAACCGGGTTGGGTCGTTAAAAACTATGTGGTTGTGAAACACTTATGCTACATTATAGCAACTTATAGCGAGGGTTGAAGTTTTCAAATGCCAGTCAATCTACAAGGTAAAGGTCAAAAGGTAAAAATAAATGGTATCCAAAGGAGGGTCTTATCACATAAAACTGTGAAATATAAAATCCATAGTACTTAATGTTAAAAAGTTATGGCTAAGGTTAAAGGTTTTTCAAACTTCAAGGTTAATAGTTGAAAAAATCATTCCCTTTGAAAGGTCTCGTCACAATGAATACACATGTTAAATATGAAAGCCCTCGCAACAATGATGTAAAAGTTTGGAATTTTTTTTATAAAAGTGGGTCAAACTCAAAGGTCAAGAGGTCAAATTTGGCGGTATCAAACGAAAGGTCTTGTCACAAGGAATATACATCTTAGATATCAAAGCCATAGTCTCACCCAATCAAAAGTTATGGGCAAGGTTAAAGTTTTTGCAAACAGACAGACGAACGGACGGGGGAAAACTATTTACTTTCGAATCCTCTGTTGGGGGGGGGGGGGGGGGGGAGTATCGGTCACGGTAGCCTAGTGGTAGAGAGTTTCCTTCGAGATCGGGAGGCCCGGGTTCAATTCTCGTTCGCGTCAAACCTCAGACGTTAACATAGGTAGTGACTGTTCCTTCGCCAAGCGCAAGCGCTCGGTATTAGAAGTGAAAGTCACAGGTCCTGAGTGCCGAATATAGGTCTAAATTTGAAGCCCTTCACCAGCACACAGTTACGTCTCTGTATGAGTGAAGAATTATCGAATGGGGCGTTAAACAATATACAATCAATCAATCAATCGGTCACAGGGCATAAAAATTAAAAACCGCTGGGCCAGAAAAGATGAATCTATGCAAAGCTACTGCCTGGGTATATTTTTGCGCATATAAACAAAGGTTAGCAAGAGTTGAACGTGATTAGTGACAATGCATTCCTTGTGACATTACCTTTTTGAATATGAAATTGTTTTATTTGACCTCATGACTGAATAAATATGTCTGACCTTGATCTTTGAGTCTGAACTAATTTTAAATAAAACTTTAACCATAGTTATAATATTTGAGTGATATATCAATTATGATTGGCATTTTTATAGCTTACAGTGTATGCTGATGGTAAAAAAGTTGCTCAACTTTGAAGACTAATCAAAAACAAATATTGATAATGCATGAGTCAGATTTTTTTTTTTTTATTTTATATAAAATATAAAAAAAATAATAAATAAATACATGTATATCAAAGATTTCAAGTTGAAAAATAAACAGAGAACACATCGGCAGTTCTTGGAGGTAAAATTATACTGTCCCTCTTATATATCAATATTACACTAATATACAATTATTGCTTTCTTTTTTAATAACATGAACCAAAACTAGAGGTACTGTAAGCAATGAGCTCACTAAATGATACTCGCACCTCCCACATGAATATAATGGCAGTGTCTATGTTTTGCTATGGAAAACCCAAAATATGTGTCGGATCAAAGAGTAACATAAGAGGTGCACAATGGCAATTTGTAACAAAGATTCTCGGAAAGTTTCATCAAATATCATTCAGTGGTATAAGAGGAGTTGAGGATAGGAGATGGGTACCCCAAAGCGTAACAGACAGACGGACGGACGTACAGACAAACGGCCTGATTACTATATATCCTCCCGCTTTTCAAGCGGAGGTATAATAAATACAATTGGATATATCTGAAAGTGCATAAAGAATCGTTCACCCAATATTTGATTGGTCAAAAGACGAAGCTTAGATGACTTCGTCACGACAAAGACGGTTCACAGTCAAATCTGTTTCCATTTCTTCAGTAAACTTCAGGAATATTAGTGTTGTTCTTCCCACACATATTTTCAATGTTTTTGGATTTTGCGACACTGTTTGCGTCGTACTCAGTCAATACAAAAGGCCAGTGACATTCTTTTTATAGCGGTTGTAAATTTGTTCTCAGATATGATTGATATATTCAATGTTTCTTTATTTAGATTCAGATACATGGTTTTTCGTTGCTTTTAATGAATTGTTCATGATGATGCTTGTGAGTGTTGTAAAACAACTTTATTTCCCGCAGTTGTCAATTTGTTTTTCGGTTCTTTCACTGAATGATTCTTAAACTCTTCCAATGTCTTCAGAATGTCATCACTTTTTTGCATGCAGAGAATTTTAGTCTTATCATTTGCTCTGTCCGCTAACCACAACCTATCGTTGCAATCAATGCACATAGCCGTGGGACTATTCAGGTATTCTGGTTCAATATGGCAGATGTATTGTCCATCGTGGTTGATGACATGAATGTTTGCTGTTATCTGAGAAACGTCTAGTAAAAGAAGAAAGCCTTCACTATCAGCACAAACATTTTGTGGGTTAAACTTGTGGCTCGATAGATCTCTTTCGTATGTAAACCTAAATTTTCCCCATTTATCAACTACGATTAAAAGTTTCTTTGCTGTATCCGTTACACACAAATCTCCATTTTTATTATTTTCTGCAATGAATCTTGGATCCTCAAAGAGAGACTGATTTTCATGGAATTCAATGCTTTTCACCTTCCTGAAAGACTTTATGAGATTATCAGGTACTTCGAAAGTAGAAACCTTTGCGCGTCTTTCTTTATTTTTTTCAGGATATGAACGAAGGCAAACGTGCATTTTTTCTTGCGTAATTGTAATTCCTCTGGAATACCATTTTCCTGTAGACATTATAGTCCTTACTTCATCCGTGGACTCGGAAGTGGATATTTCAATCGTTTTATTTTCGGGGTTACCATAAATAACTCCTCCGGTACAATATGCAGAAAACAGGGGTTTCTTACATTTTGTCCCAAACTCGGTCTGAATCTCGCCATCATGATCGATTTTTGAAATTTTACCTCTTCCTTGCTCTGTAACAAACAAGGTATTTCCATCTTTACTGCAAGTCATGTCTTGTATCTTATTATTGAAATGCTTTGATTCTACCTCGTGTACGTCAAAACTATTCATATTACTGGTTGACACAGTTATGTTCGCAAAGTTACTCAAGAATTCCGTGTTAATATCTGAAGTGGAGAGACTTATTCTTGGTATTTTCAAGTCTGGTTTTTCAGGGAGACACTCGATGTCCTCGGGTTCAGGTAACAGTTCAGGATTATGTAATGCTTCAATGTCGAGAAGAATTTCTCTTTTCTCTTCTATTTTTCTTTCTATGTCATTACATTTTTCTCTTGTTTTTGTAAGAGAATTTTTAATCGGCTTTTCAGAACTCCGTTTTGCTTTATTTAGACGAGACAACATTTCACTTTTCCACTGTTTCACTACATCCCATAGCTTATCTGCAAAATTATAAATTTCACTTTTTACTATCTTATGATTGCGCTCCAAATTGTCCATACAATAGTGAAAATAATGGCAGTTCTCCTCTAATTGATGTAGTAACAAGAATAGATATGGGTTACCCCATATCCAAAGATATTCGACTTTTAGATTTAATATGTTTATCAGTGTTTATAATGACGTTAATAAAAAAAAAACTGCAATGTCTAATTATGATTATTCTTTATTGCATATTACACCCATATGGGTCAAGCAATACAAAAAACCAAAAAAAAATCAATGAGAACAATGAATTATATATACAATATCCATATAGAAATTTATTCCCTAAATGTTACACCGATGTGGACCTTTTAGTTCTCAATTCTAATGATTGTTTTATAAAAGTGCAAACAGCCGGTATAACTTCAAGTTTTGGACTTAGTATATAATCAAGTTTCTGAGTAGGTGATTTGAGGTAGAATGAAGAACAATTATCTAACATAACTTTTATAAGTATATTCCTTGCTTGTATATTCAAGCTACACTGTAGAAAAAAATGTGATTCATCATCAATTGTATTACATGAAGAACATAATCTTTGTTCTCGAGGTATTTTCTTATGTCTACCAGTTTCTATCATTAGGCAGTGGTCACTTGTTCGAAATTTAGTTAGCATTTGTCTATTCCTAAAACTATTTTCAAGCTTAAGATACTCTTCCATATCGACACTGTGTTTTATTTTACTGTACAAGTATAGTTTTGAATTTTCTGTAAATTTAGATATTTTTTCCATAGTTTTCTCTTTATAATTATCTAGTACAATTTTCTTCAACTTCTTTCTAACTGAATTTCTAATTTTGTCAAATTTTTCATCTTTTTTGTTGTAGTCATTGCTATTTAAATTATTTTCTTCAAATATAGACATTGCAAGGGTATGCCAGGAGTAAAATCCTTCTTCATGCATAGATATATTAAAATTATATGATTCTTTAATCAAGGGGTTTACATTTTGAGAGTTTAGCCGTACAAAGTACATCATGACTTGAGTTTTAATAAAAGAAGAAACTGGAAGTCTGCCTAGTTCACACAAAGTTGAAACATTGCATGCTGTCTTATTGAGTCCTAGAACTGTTTTACTATATCTAGTATGTACTTTTTCATAAACGGATTTTTCTTGTAAAGCGAGTGTATCACATGAACTGTTATTCTTTATAGCTCGGAGCATTGCTCTGTATGAAGGAAGATAATCATCCATAAACCATATTTCACTATTAAAGCATAAAATAGGACGAACAAGAGTGTCAAATAATTTACAAGACAAATTTACAGGTAGTTGTATAAAGTTGTTGAAAATTTTTCTTAAGGAGAATATTACTTTTAAGCCCTTCTTAGACAGTTCTTGTATTCCTTTGTGTAAACTTCCTTTATGGTCAATTATTGTTCCCAGAAAATTATATTCTTTTACTTCTTCAAGAGGGTGATTATCATAATATAAAACAGGGGTTGGTTTATGTACTTTTTGAAAAGTTAAAACTTGTGTTTTTGTAGTATTCACAGATAATTGCCAATTTAAGCAATAATTGTGCAGTTTGTTCAGTGTATTCTGTAAACCACTATGAGTCTCTGAAAGCAGAACAAGGTCATCACACTCATCTGCAAAGCTTAAACTAGATACATGTGTGTGTTTAAGTATGAGTGGATCACATGACTGATCAAAAGTGTCATGTAGGTCATTTATAAAACAGTTAAATAAAGTTGGACTTAGACTGTCCCCTTGTTTTACCCCTCTATCTAGTTTGAAATAATTGGAATGACTGTTTTTGAATTTAACAGCTGATTCACATGAACTGTACATACTTTGAATAACATTAAAGAATTTTTGACCAATTTGATTGTTCATTAATTTGTATAAAAGGCCCTTATGCCAAACTGTGTCAAATGCTTTGCGCAGATCTACAAAGCATGCATATATTTTTGTCTTATTTCGAACGATATATTTCATTATTAAAGTTTTAAGTACAAAAAGACTGTCTGTTGTTCTGTGTTCTGTTCTAAATCCAAATTGCTGTTTTGCGAATAATTTATCATAATGTAGCATTAATCTTTTATTAAGTGTAGCACTAAAAAGTTTTGCCATGGAGTTCTGCAGTGAAATACCTCTATAATTATTTAGTTCATTTTTATCTCCAGATTTATAAATGAGAATAATGAATGATTTTCTCCATGCAGATGGGTATTCTCCAGTATTCAATGTTAAGTTAAATAGTTTAACTATAGATTTACAAGTAACCACTGAGCTATGTTTTAATATTTCATTTGGAATAAGATCTGGCCCTGCACTTTTATTAGTTTTAAGCTTATAAATTAATTTCTTAACTTCATTGATAGTAAATGGTTGGTCAGTAATTAGATTTTCTTCTAAAAAAGTTTTATACTGAGTTACGTGATCTTCAATCCTTCCCTGAAAATCTTTATTATTGTTTTTACCTAAACCTTGTGTCTTGCAATGGTTTATAACTTTATGAACATTTACTAGTATATCTGCTGTATTATTTAAGCTTTTATCTCTTTTAAAAGAATTAAGAACTTCCCAGTATTGTTTGGGGTTTGTTTCTTTCCAATTCAATAATTTATCATATAATTCTTTTTCAAAAAAATGCTTTTTTTGTTTTACCATTTTTTTCATTTTTTTGCAGTGAGTAAAATAATCACATCTAATTTTCTTATTAAAGGGTTCATTTTTCATCTTAGTTCCTAACATTAGCACAGTTTTTTTCAAATCCCTAAGCTGATTGTCAAACCATGGTTTTTTCTTCTTTGCCTTTTTTTCCCTACAGTTGATGATTTTACATGATTTCATTGCCAAGTCTTGTAAAATTGAATTGAATGCTTCTGTAGCTTTATCTATACCTTGTGTATTTTGCTCATAATTTGTATTTTCATAGGATAAAATTTGTTCTAATACTTTTGGATCAGAAAGAGCATCTAATAATTTAGATTTTGAAATAATTTCCCATTTATAAGAGCATTTCAAAATATTAGACTGCAAAGCTCTTGAGGTAGAAATAATTTCACTATTAGACTTATTACATTGAATATATACAGATATTTGTGCATGATCTGACAAATATGTGGGATTAGATACTTGAAAAAAATTTATATTATTAAAAAGGTCCACATCGAACTGGTGTAAATTTCGTGAGGTCACCCAGTCTCCTAACAAACAGTACACATAGGCCTACATGTACCTGTGTCCGCAAGACCAACATTAGCCTTGATCTACACATGTGCGATGGAGCTGTCAAACGCATCCAGCGAGCTCGGAGAAACACGTTTTGTTTTGCCGAGAAGTTACGATGGCAGACAAAACTTTTCTTTTCTTAATTAGATCATATGAATACGAATTCTGATTAATAAAAATTATACAATCCCTGATGAACTATATATAGTTTGTTCTAACATTTGCATCTGCAACAACTTGTGTTTAAAATGGCCGGGTTAGGAAAATCAGGACCGGATCGGAAAATTCTAAACTGAAAACCTTTTTTGTTTTGAAAATTACTGAAATATACTAATGTATTCGTCGCAGAAATTACTTACATTATTCAAGTTCTATATAAAATGGTATGCTGAACTTCAACACGAACCCGAATCTCCGACCCAGTTCTCGTTTTGCTACACATTTTATACCCTACAGTTTACAAAGTGTACACACGAGCAGAATCCAGCCAGGGATTGAAAATTCCGTCATTTAATAATACACACACACAGAATGATTAATTTTTTCTTTAAGAGGAAATTGTATGATAATTAACGGACTATAAACATGTACTTAATACAGTTGTTGATATAGTATTATCAATTCATCGGTGAAAAAATATGAATCGAAGAATGACCTAAATATTCTCTGTTATCAAACATGTAAAAAAAAAAGGGGGGGCTGAGGAGGGAGCGAGCGTAGGAATATTGATATTTTTTATTTGCATTTCGAGGGGAAAGTGACTTTCTAATAATATTTTGACGTTATTTTTTATTTCTTTAACGTATGACATACACAACTTTACTCTTATCATGAACAATAATGTTGTATCTACTTATCATGATGGAACTATTTTGGTCGGACCAATTTGTGTGAGCCGCCGCTGAATACAGTAATATATCTTGCATATAAATAGTATGCATTGATCGAATATATTAAAAAAGTAAGATCTTCACGTGATTTGAGAATTTGATTTATTTTTATCTTCAGAAGTTCAATTATTTGTAAAGTCTTATGGGATCTACATCTACGCCATTCACATTTCTTACACACAGATTTGTTGCATTTTTTACAGTAGGCTGTACTTGGAATGTCTGTGTGAATTTCACATGTCCGTCTTTGAACAATGCCTTGGTTCTTGTCCCGGTAAAATACAACATTGTGGCCTTTGTCAGTCTTTGCACTTCGAGTAAGATGGGGCAACTTGCATTCTTCGCATAAATTATCCTCACAGTAGGTACAGTAATAACTAAGCGACTCCTTAAAACAGCAACTGCACTTTTTTATTCTGCATGATTCCAATTCTTTGCTTGAGAGCCTGAGAAAAATCGTTGAAATTGTACAGCATACATTTTGATAATTTGCTTAATCCAAAATGATAAAACATATGTAGTAGGGATGTCAACGAATATTCGAGTACTCGACTATCGTTCGATCATACCGACTATCGACTAAAATTTCTTTAGTCGGTTATTCATTAAAAATGTGTTTCATCAATGTAATTTTGAATTCTGCAGTGTAACATCAAACATGATGTATCATATGCCGAATCAGTCAAACATACATGTATACACAGTCTTTAAATGAATCTTTCCTAAAGTAAGTTTTCCGCAAAAAATGACCAAAAAAAATAAAAAACGGATTGGAAAAAAAAATCAAACATGTTTGTTAATGATTGTCTACCTCTTACTATTTTAAATGGAGATGGCAATTGTTTAGTTTTGTAAATTCAAACTAAGATCTGACGTGATACAACTATTCAGAAAAAGTATTAATTAAAAAACTATTACAAAATCGTAAATACATATAAATTGGGGTCAGTTATGAGAGTGATTAAACCGTGTTTTCTTTTTCTGATATTAATTTTTTCATAAAATTATTGATTGTTTGCACAAAATTTCATTAAATCTTATCCCAAGCTCTCGCTATGTCTTTGTTTTATGACATGCGCATGCGTGAGCTGAATGAGAGTCATGATTCTTCGAGCTCTGAATATAAGATATTTTCAGTTTAAAAGTAACAAACTTTGGGGGATTTACCGAATGATTTCAACTGCGTGTTATGAGGCCTAAAACATCTGGAAGTGGATCCGGCGGTTCTAATGGAAATAAATCTAAGAAAGGGAAGAAAAGAAAAGAAGGCCCAGATTTGAGCAGTGAAGCGCAACAAAGAAAAGTAAGTGTTATGAGTACTTCTCAAGACAATGTAGACACACAAAGAATCTCGCAACCGTTATTCTCAACTCCAATAAACAATCAACAGAGTATGCAGAACAATCAAAATAGTACATACCAAATACCACAAATGTCTCAATTGCCTGTAATGAATTACAGTTTCTCACCTGTAGCGCCTGTTCATCCTGTACAACAGGTACAACAATATCAGGGTGGATTACAGCCAATTGATTATGGTAATAAAATAGACAATTTGGCCAAAACATTGGACAAAGTTTGCCAAAAATTGGATAAACTTGATCAAATTGAATCTAGAATCAGCAAATTTGAAGCAACAATGAATACTGTCACAACTGACGTGCTTGAATTGAAAACAAAAATGTCAGACATTGAAAAAAACATTATATTCACTAGTGAAAAGTTAGATGAGAATGAAGAAACATCAAAAGAGATAGTAGTAGAAATGAAGAGATCCAAAAAAATACATGAGAATTTAGAAAAAGAGAGTGAGGCACTTAGAGAACAAATGACAATTATGACAAAAAAAATGTTAGATCTAAAAGACCAGCAAAATGAATTACAAGCAAGGTCTATGCGTGACAACCTTATATTTGTGGGAATTCATGAACCAAAAGATGAAACATCAGAACAATGTGAGCAGGCACTAAAAGCGTTCATGTCTGAAAAACTCGGAATAACGGATGAAATTCCATTTCATCGAGTACATCGTATGGGCCGGAAGCAAGAGGCAAAATCTCGGGCAGTTGTGGCAAAATTTGTAAACTTTAAGGATCGTGAAAAGGTCCGAAAAACTGCAATCACGGTGATCACCGATCTACGGGAACGAGGCGATCAAGGCAACGCAGATTTCAGTGTATTCGAGCAATTTCCCAAGGAAATAAACGATAACCGGAAAATATTATACCCGAATTACAAAGAAGCTAAACGACAGGGCATCAAAGCGCAACTGGTTATGGATAAACTCTATATCAACGGCGAGCGATTCATGGCGACAGATTTCGGACAGGAAAACCCATATAACGCACCAGCGGCACCACACAACGTAGATCCGCGCCTAACTCCAATGGCCCGTGAATTTCGACCATTCAACAGACGCGGCTCAGTAAGTCAAAGGTAGGATAACCTAGGAGGAAATCTACCACGTGACAATTTAGTGGACAGTGATCCAACCGACTCTCTCGATTCATCCACTGGAACTGATTGCAAACTTAAAATCTTAGGATTAAATGTTTGTGGTTTAAGTAGACGCATAAATTATCCAGAATTTTCAACATTTATCTCTTCCTTTGATATATTGTGTTTTACAGAGACAAAAACTGATGATACTACACCGATTGATCACAATTATTTTTTGTTTGATGCTAAAAATAGGCACGGATTTTCAAACAGACGTTCTGGTGGTATTGTAATTGGATACAAAAAATCTATCAAAGATTATGTAACTATCGTTCACACAGATTGTAAATTTGTTCACTGGTTAAGATTAAAATCTTCTTTAATTAATTTAGATAAAGACTTGATTTTAGGTGTTGTTTATATACCACCAGAAAGTTCTATATATAGTTCAAGGGAAGCTTTTGAAGAAATTGAACTTGAATTTTTGAATTTACAAAGTGAATTTAGCCATATATGCCTAACTGGAGATTTTAATGCAAGAACTTCTGATAGAGATGATTTTATTGAATCAGATGACATATCAAATCAAGAATTTGAGTTAGATGATCCCAGTTTAGACTGTCTCTCAAATGTATTTGAATTACAAAAGATAAATATACCAAGGAAACGAAAATCATTAGATAAAACAAAGAATAATTTTGGAAACAATTTATTAAATTTTTGTAAAAATAACAATATGTATTTATTGAATGGAAGATTAGAAGAGGGTAAATTTACTACAACAAAATCAAGTGTGGTCGATTATTGTATATGTAGTGTTGAATTTTTGAAACATGTGCAAAATTTTTCTGTACTAGAATTCAATAGGTTATATTCTGATATCCATATGCCACTACTTTGTGAAATAAGTGTGAACTCATATATCTCAAATGATAACTACCAAACTAAAGAAGAAAGTAAGAAAAATAAAAATAATTTTTCGTGTCAGAAGATAAAACCATGGGATAATGAAAAAACAGAAGAATTTTGTCAAAATATTGATTTAAATGTTCTAAGAAAATTAAAATATGACTTGAGCAATATTGATATCAATGATTTAAATAAAAACCAGGTTAATGAAATCTTTTCAGACACTGCAGGTCTACTGCTTGACTCGGCACGCACAACTTTTGGAACATTTAATGCTCGCCAAACTCACAATAAACTACCACAGAAAAGAAAAGAATGGTTTGATAAAGAATGCAAAATAGCACAAAAAAAATATAGGAAATCAAAACGAATGTTTAGGAAATATCGTTCAAGCATCTTAAAAGAAGAAGTACGTATCAATGAACGTAAATATAAAAATACTATGGATAAAAGTATGAAAAAACATAGAAATTTAATTATGAAAAAAATTAGAAAACTGAGAAGTAACGATCCAAAAAGTTATTGGAAAATAATTAATAAAAGGCCGAACAACAAAAAATGTGATATTAATATTGATGAATTTTACAATTACTTTAAAAACGTCAATAATGGCGATGTAAATAATGACGAACCACTATCAAATGAGATTAGAAATACATATACTAATGAAGAACTAGACTCAGTGATAACTGAAGATGAGATAAAACACGCAATTGAAAATATTAAAAATAACAAAAGTTCTGGAAGTGATGAAATTTATAATGAATACATAAAATCCTCTGCTAGTATTATGTTACCGGTATATGTTATGTTATTTAATATTGTTTTTAACTCAGCAATTTTACCTGAAGCTTGGATTGTTGGTGATATATTGCCTATTTATAAAAATAAGGGGAACGACAATGACCCTGAAAACTATAGACCTATAACTTTATTAAGTTGCATGGGTAAATTATTCACATCCATCTTAGCTAAACGATTAAATAATTATGCTGAGCAATATGATATACTAAATGAAAATCAAGGGGGTTTCAGATCAAATTATTCTACAATAGATAACATTTTTACTTTACAATCGCTAATCGAATTATCCTTTTTATTGAAAAAGAAACTATATTGTGCATTTATAGATTTTAAGGCTGCTTTTGACAATGTATGGAGAATAGGACTATGGCAAAAACTCATTCAAAATAATATTACCGGAAAATGTTTTGAAGTTATAGTGAAAATGTACTCTGAAAGTAAATCCAGAATAGCTGTTAATGATATGGTTACTGAATATTTTCCATGCAAAATAGGGGTACGACAAGGGGAAAACTTATCGCCCTTTTTATTTGCTTTATTCCTGAATGATGTAGAATCTTTTTTAATTGCACATAACAATATTGGTGTCTCAACAATATCAAATGAGATTGAAAAAGAACTTGGTGTCTTGTTAAAAATGCTGATTATTTTGTATGCAGATGATACAGTTTTACTATCGGAATCACCCGAAGATTTACAGAATCAGTTGCACAGTTTTTTATTGTATTGTGAAAAATGGAAGCTAGAAGTTAATATAGAAAAAACAAAAATAATGATTTTTTCAAAGGGACGTATACCGCATAAAGTTTTTTATTACAATAACAAAGAAATTGAAATTGTTAAACATTTCAAATATCTAGGAATTATATTCTCAACAACAGGCTCATTTATTAAGACAAAACAATATGCTACTGAAAGAGCAACGAAAGCTATGTATGGTATTTTGAAAAAGGGTAACCAATTACATCTTTCTCTTTATGACCAATTGTATTTGTTCGACAAGATTGTAATTCCAATTTTATTGTATGGTTGTGAAGTGTGGGGTTATGGTAATGTTGAAATGATAGAAAGAGTACATTTAAAATTTTGTAAAATGCTTTTTCATTTAAAACCAAGTACTCCAAATTTTATGATCTATGGTGAATTAGGTAGAGTACCTTTAAGTATACATATCAAAACAAGAATTATTGCATATTGGTCAAAAATTTTATATGGAAAACAATCAAAATATTGTTTTTTAATGTATAAATTACTTCGTGCAAAATTTGATAATGGACATGAATCTAAATGGTTAAAG